TTGGTCACATGGCCCCACTAACTGCAAAAGGATCAGGAAATGTAAATTCCCATATGTCCATGAAAGTAACGAAGGACCAGAAATTAGTAATGTTTCCCACAAGTGATGTGACTTTGATGACAATAGTCATCAATAGATGACTATTGATGTCTAGCTGTCTAGCCCTTCCGTGAATTTCAGAAGCACTGAATGGCCTGAATGATAGCTCTTGCTTTTTTTTTGGAAATATCTAGAGTGGTTTTGGTTTCTTTCAGTAAACCCAAGTCAATCAGATGTGTGCTGCCACCCTTCTGTCCCCTTGCCCCTTTCCCCGCTCCACACATCAGCTCTACGTCCCAGGAAACATCCTCTCTGAACTGCACGTTGAGGCTCCTCTGCCCTCTGACCTGGCTAAGCTTTGAATCATAGGAGTGTTGACCTCAAACAAACAAAAAAACCCACAGTCATTCCACCAACAGTATGGTTCTATTTGGAAATAACAAAAAGACAATTTGGAAAGTGTGTCATGGTGAAACTCATGTACATTTCCCCATTGGAAAGCCAGCAACCCCTTATATATCCTTTGAGGGAAGAGTCATCGGATAATGTTGCCGTCTTCCTTTTGACAGGACACGAAAGCAACACCACTTCCCCTGGGAGACCCAAGGCATGTGACTGCTCCCTGTGCTGTGTGGACACTTTTCTAGCCTCCCAGCCACAATTACATAGGGTTTCTGCATAGAATCTTTTTTTCTTTACTACAAACTTTTCAAGCTGTGTTTCTGAGAGTGGGGAATTGCAGCTTGCCTCTGTGGACTGGTTCTTCTGCTGGACTTGTTGGTTTCACACATCTACACCTGCGGTCACACCGTCTACAGATTTGCAGGTCTGAGATAGTCTCAGCTAAAACAATTTATCAGCTCGCTTGGTCTCACCCTCCAGCAGACTATCTTGGGTCTTTCACACTGTGACCATGACAGGGATCCCAAGAGCAGCAAGACAGAGCATGCCCCAATGCACAGCCACTTTTCTTTTTTAAAGATTTATTTATTACGCATACAGAACTGAGGTACAGGTCAGAGGTGCAGGGGTGGTGAGAGGATTCACCAGAGACAGAGTGGGGAGCAGAACAGGTAAATCAAGAAAGTATACTGTTGAAAGGAGCAGCAGGCGAAACAGGAGAGGTCTGCTGTGCCATGTGGGTCACCCCCTTGGCCAGGGATGGAACAAGTGCTGAAGCAGCTGCTGCTAGTTTCGTAGTGCTGCGCTATAACCCATTGAGCCCCCAGGGAGGGCCCTCACAACCACTTTTCAAAGATCTGTTACTGTCCCATGGGTGATCAGAAGCCAAGTGATGAATCATAGAGTCGACCTAAGAGGAGAGTACACAGGGCATGGATACAGGAGGCAACTATTGTGACTTTAAAAAAAAAAAAAAGATTTATTTATTTATGCATACAGAATTGGGGTACAGGCCAGAGGTGCAGGGGTGGTGAGAGGTTCACCAGAGACAGAGTGGGGAGCAGAACAGGTAAATCAAGAAAGTATACTGTTGAAAGGTCACCTCTGGGGCAGGGGTCGAACTCATGCTCAAGTGGTTTTAGCTTCTTAGTGCTGTGCTTTAACCCACTGAGCCACCAGGGAGGGCCCTATTGTGACATTTTTATAACCAATCTCTCTGTATAGATAAATAGAGATATTCCCTAAACATTCATGGTGATGAAATTTCAAATAGTATTTAAAGGTAAAGAAATATTTCTGTATTTTATCCAGTCCCGTCCATCATAATCCTTCTCTCTAAGGTAACCACTTTTAACTATGATTTTACCTAGTGGTAATTAACTTTTTATCAACTTTCTATTGTATTACAACTATTAAAAAAATAATATAGCTACATTAGTACACAACTTACAGAGTCAAATTGTCCAGCAGAGTCTGTTACAAACAAAAGCCACCTTCACTTTGCTTTCCTCAGAGGCTACTTACTGCCAATTTCCTTGGCCGATTCTTTTGAGCTTATCTGTCTATATATCTGTTGGTCTGTCTGTATAGAAAGACATATATTTCAATAATACATATTGTATAATAAAAGATCTATAACTCGTAACATGGAAGTTACTATCATGAGTATATATGTCTATACACACAAGTATATATTTGCTTCTCAACTTTTTACTGTCTGCTGGTACCAGCATGAGCTCAGAAAGGAGAAAATAAAAGAAGTGAGGGTATTTATAGAGATAAATTCCTTTCAACTTGCCACCAGATCTCTTGGTTCTGTAAAGTCCTCTTGTAAACACTCTTGAGGATGATGGCTGTTTCTTGCCTGGTCCTTGACTCCTACAAGGTGTTTAAATAATCAAGTTGTGAGTCTAAAAAGACATATTAGATTCTCTACCTTTCTCTAGTTGGAGAACCTTATGAAACGCAAATGTGAACATGTCATTCCTCTGCTTTAAAACTTCAGTGGCACCCTAATCTGCACATCACCACACCCCACTCCAAGTTGCAGCCAGACTAAATTACTTTCAGTTCCTCCTGCAACACATCTCTCTTCCTCTGAGACTCTGTGCATGCAGGACTTTCTTCCTGGAAACTGCTCCCCCACCCCCACTCTCATTTTTCAGCCATCAGTTTAAATGCCTCTTGCCCTAGACAGTCTTCCAGAAACCCACTTATTTTGTTAGATGTCCTTCTATGTTCTGTTCTCTATCATAGAGAGAAAAGGCAACATCACACTCTACTGTAACTGACTGCTTTTTATCTGTAACTTGTACAGATAAAGCTTGTAACCCCACAGAATACAGGAAAGCATTTCAGGTCTAGGTGAGCATAATGGGCTCCCAACAAATCTCGCATAGTTCCTGAATGTTAATGAAAAGACGTCAATGCTGTTCCTCTAGTTACTCTTTTTTCTCCTTTCATTCATTTGTAAGAATCAGGGGGGAAATACTTTTTAGTTACCCATTTCTCATTACTAACATCTATTTACTTCCCAGACCATTTTAGTCTTACTTTGCTTCCACGTCTATGGTGACTTCTCTTGTCAAGATTATGACTGACCTATCAATAGATCTTCAATTCAATAACTTTTCAGTCAGAATCCTGCAGAATTGCTCTACAGTGCTTTCTGGAGACTCCCTCTTTGCTCCTGAGGGATGATCATAAAGCACTCCTAGTCTTTTCTTTCTTCAGTCTATCCATTAGATGCTGGAGTAACTCATCTTTATTCTCCTTTGGGCTTCAGCCATCCTCATTCCCAAATGAATGCTTTCAGTCTTAACCATTTTCTGAGGCTAACACTTCCCTTCTCCTTTGGCTGTCTTGCAGACAAGTTCGCATAAAGACTCATTATCTCTTCTATTCCCAGCCTGCCCTCTTCTTACTCCAAAGTTCAAGCAATGTAATCAGCATCCATCTAGCTGTCTACCTTGCAAACCTTAACATCCTTAACTCTCCCCACTACCTTTCACCCTTTGTCCTAATGGGCTAGAAGCTCCATCCATTATAAACCTCCACCCTCCAATTCCTAAACTCTGCCTCTGGGTCCTGTGGTCTATTTCTTCCACCTGAAGAACCTCCCCCCCAAGTTTGCCCCAAGTCCTATTCATTCTTTAAAATTCAGAACACTGTAACTTCAATTCCTGTCTCCTCTAAGTTCTAAGCAGTTTGTTTCTTCATTCTGAACATACCTTGATGCTAGGTATTGTTTTTTAATAACTGGCTTTCTTGCATCCTTCACTCCATTATAAAATTCCTGAAGGCAGGATCTTTTTGTTTTGTCTTGTTTTGTGAGATCAGGAGATCTAGCCAAGTGACTGACGTTTGAGGTGATTAAAAGAATTGAATATGAATGAATGTCTGAATAAATGAACTGGCCAAGGGGTGGCTTCAATTATACCCTTTTGGAGAGTATTATGGAGCAGTTTTTGAGTTAAAAGGGCAATAACTGAGCCTGAAAACACAAACATTACGTGACAAAAACAGACAAGTTGCACTGTAGTAAGAAGTACCTGACCCCGAAGGCCGGTCATTGTCACGCACTTGGGGAAATGTCTTACTTTTAAGCTTTTCAGCTTTCGGTGTGTGTAGCCAAATTTTAAAAGGGAAGCTGTTCCTCGTCTAACCCCTCCGGGTCTCTTTCTGCCTTGGGTAGCAGGAATTAAACTGTAAACAGGAGAAAACATCTCTGCAGCAGCACACGGCCTGGGCACACGGTGGACCTCAACACGAGGCCGCTGGACACTCCCTCGCCACACTTTGTAGTTGAAGGTTCGTGGATTTAAAGTTGCTAAATACAATTTCGGTTTTAGGATTGCGATTGGAGGAAAACAACGCCGTAGGGATTCTGCTTAACCTTATTAACCCCTGGCTCCCAAACCCCAAGGGAGAACTAGATCACGGGAAGGGGAGGGGAAAGCAAGCGGAGCAAAAACTGAAAGAAAGACCGGGAGGAAGCGGTAGACGGAAGCTCGTCTCTGCTCGGGTTTGTCTTTTTTTAACCCCGGGGAGGCGTGACTCCCCAACTGCCGTCGCGGGTCAGTTTTTTCGGAGAAGCGCCCGCCCGTCCCGAATTTCCCCGCCCGCCCTCCGGCTTCCGCCGCGCGGGGCGCTGCCGGCCGCGGCCGCTGGGGG